GCTGAACCTGTTGCCCTACTACTTGCAGATGCGGTTTTAGTCGCTGAGACTGTGGACCTGGAATTATTCAAGGAGGGCCTTGTAGTGGATGGCAATGTGGCTCGGGAAGTGGGGGTTGAAGGCCTTGATGATCTCGAATTTGTTGTCAAAGTGGGCCTTCCTGTGGGGGTTGCAGGTCTCGATCCAGGTCCCCCGGATGAGGAAGGCCTCCGACTAGAAGAGCTCAAACCAGGAGAAGAAGTTGGTTGTCTAGATGCCAAGTTGTTCCTCACAGCAGGCTCCGTCGAAGAATTTGCCAACTATAGAACAATAGATTCATAGGTTTATCATCAGACAATGTTTCCAAATATATCGAACCAAAAAAAAAAAAGTTTTACGATACGCAATAAGGGAAATATATATATTTCGATAATTAACACAAGAAAGAGATCCTTGTAATGGAAAGTTGGCCAAGACTTTTTGAGAAATCAACCATGGCATATGCCATGGCAATTGTCCTGCTCAGCTCAAATCCTGAACATATCCATATCATGAATAACAACATTTGGGATAACAGCAAATCTACTAGTGAAAAACATAAGTTTTAACAAAAAATATGAAAGGATGATGCTCAACAGGTTTAATCAGCGGCTTAAATCTATATACAACTGCTCGAAAACTTTCATTTCAACCCAGGAAAATTTTACTTCCTATGACAATGCAGAACGCTTTGCTGTCTGCCCACTTAATTTTATAATCTAAAGTTTGATAAGAGCACCCAAGATCTGCTTAACAAGTCAGGGCACTAGGCAACACCATCCTTACCCTAGAATTCAAAGAATTCGAGCGAGCCTTAGAATCACCGCTCTGACTCAACATGGCCTTCTGTGATTCCATTTCCAAAGAAGGAAAAAGTGGAGTACCTGGCGGAGTCAGAAGCCTTGAAACACAGGAAAAGTGTCAATTTTTGGAGGAAATGAAAAGCCGATAAACGATAACATTCAGAGCAGATGAATGTGAACGACAAAAAAAAAAGAGAAAATCATGCTTCGGGCAATGTCGATGATGTAAAGATATCTGTCTGGTCGAAGCCACGTCAGGTGGAGAACACTCAGGCTAAAACACACTCCCCACGAGTTCCATATCGCCATTCCAAAAAGAATGAGCACATCATTAGCATCAAAGATCTCGCATTTTGCAGTTAAATAACCGTTTTCTACATTGCTTCTTAGTTGAATATGCAAGAATTATAACAGCTAAAGAATTACACATTTGGATTTAAATTCAACGCGTTTGTATACTTCCATTCAAGAAACAGCGAGACAAGTTCCTACCGGAGGTCAGCTACACGAATCAATTACAAAACCAGGGTAAATATACTAAAAAGCTCATGACTAAGATGGTAACATATGTTCCAAGGATAGCCAGTGCACGCTACCGTTATACACCGATCAATAATTATGAACCAGATCACGACATCAAAGCACAATTATGAACTCAGTAACAGCATAAGAAAAAAGCTACCATTCATAGTCATTTTTATCGCCCTCCGAATTGAGAAAATCATCTGGTGCAGCCATCTTACGCGCAGGCTTAGCCATTGAAATGTTGAACACCGGTGACGTACCAGGCTTGGAACCTACAGTTACGGTGACACAGAACGAAAAGACGAAACCATTTAGCACTAAGGGAACTCTTAAACTATGCATACAGTGTTTCAGTAAATTCAACTGCGAACGGGCGACCCATTTCCACCAACTGGAGAGAAATGTATATACCTAATGGAGTTTCGAACTCTTCCGGGTTGTTGAGGAGGAGATTGTCCTGCTCTTTCTCTCGCCGTCTCATCTCGAGGAACAAAGCGAGCTCTTCTTCCTTCTCCGCCATCATAGAAGCCCTAAGTTGTTGCCTTTGCCTCTCCACCGAGTCAAACATTGGAGACTCCTGTGCCCTAAAACTCCGATTCATCGCTCAAATTCGACAAACTTCCAGATCAAGAGACCAAAACGTAACTTAGCTTCTAATGTACTTCCCCCCAAGCGGAGACGACAACAGCGAAAACCATATCTTAATCGAATAAATTATTCTCCACACGCTTCAACTACTCTCCTAAATTGGAAAAACCAGAGGCCAAATCGAGCTTCACGAGCTGAAACCCCTAATCGTCAACGCATTCCACCACTTTCCCGCTTGAACAGAAGTAGAAAAGGCGAAAAAGGAGACGAAAAAGGGGGACTCCTCAACTCGAGGAGACGAGCTCTCTCAAAGAAACCGCCTTTCTCGAGGAACGGAGCTCAAAACCTAGCCATTGCAGGTGCTGAGAAAAAACCTAAGGGAGAGAGAAACATTTTGAAGATCGAGAAGAGAGAGATTGAAATTGGGAGCGAAGAGGAGAGAGAAAGCGAGGACGGGGAGAGTGGCAGTGAGTGTAATTATGGATCTGTGAGCGCGGCGAAATTGTAAACTGATGAAAACATTAAAAACAAATATTTTATTGGATATTATAGTTTGTTTTTAGGATTTTCGTGTTGAAGGGACATCTCTGTACCTAATGGCTCTCAAATGTTTCTATCGCTTCAAGTCTAAGGATTCTGATGCGAGTTTTGCAATTTTTAGGGGTCAAATTGTAATGAGGACAAAACTTTTGACATATAATATAATTAATCATTTTATTAAAAATATATATTTACAATTACAATATGGTTCTCATCATCATTTCCAAACTTATATTGATTTATTTTTTTTTTCATTTTGCTATTTCTACTAGATTTAATTAAACTTGTTTTAACATTGGTTCAACGATCTTGCTAAAAGAAGTTAACTTTTTTTTTATAATTCGAAATTTATCTACCTTCGCTCAGACTATATCTCTCATAAAAACGTAAAAATTCACGTGAATACATTTCTTCGAATAAAGATTTAAAACACATATTAGAAAAAAAGTTTTACCTTAGCTTTTACCAGTTTAACATCCCATCTTGGGTTAAAAAGAGTTAACTTATATTAAATTTATTGTTATTATGTTATATTAGAAATGCTTATATGTTTTTTTTTCCTCTTTGATCGTTTTTAATTAAGATGAATTATGTTAAATACATAAAATATCTTGACAATAACGTAAATTAATTCAAACATTTATTTCTCATTAGATGTATGGAATTTATCATCATTAGTTATTATTCGTTAATTTCAATACAATATTATCAATATCTCGTCAGTCTGCATTTAATTAATACATTTTAAAAATGTAACTAAAATAATATGCTCAGTCTAATCAATGAAATATCTCCCTTCTGTGTAAAGGTAAATATAATGAAGGGGAATGACGGATCCCAATTGTTGTTCACTAGATTTGTTAGAACCACGTGATTTGTTTTAACGTTAGAAATTATTAAAAAAAGATTCAAAGTTTCCTTATTATTCTTAAAACCTATTTTTTTTTATAACAAACCCTAAAATCTCCTACTACTACTAAAATAATTTAGAAAAAAATGGGTTTTTGCTTTATAGTATAAAGTTTAGGATTTTAAGGTAATTATATAAAGTTCATCTTTTTCTAACTTTTCTAAACATAACAATTTTCGGATTTATTTCTCAAAAATTCGAATTCTTTTTTCTTTTTGGCGACTTTCACATAGGCCTTGAATGATGAGAGTTTTTGGAGTTTTTAGAATCCAAAAACAAAAATAAAAACAACATTCAAGTTTTTATAAAATTACTTTTCCTAAAAACTTGGAAAGCCATTTTAGTGAAAAAATCAATGAAAACCCAAAAGCTACTTTTTTTGAGTTTTCAAATATTATAAAATCCAAAAACCAAAAACCAAAAACTAAAAACCAAAATTCAAAAACTAAAACCAAAAACCCGAAATAAAAGACATCTTCATTCAAAGCCATAGTTTCGAGTGGGGAGAGTTCATGATCGATAAGTTTCGGTTGCACCTATTACAGCCCGTGTAGGAAAAGCACGTAACACCACGTGCAAATGGGCAATGGACGATGCGGTCAAAAAAGAGGGCCATGTTGATTTAACGTTGAAGATCACCACTACGAACAAAAAAAAAATAAGAACATGTTTTTTTAAATAACATAGCATACAAATAAAACGTCTGATTTTTTTTTTGTCTGGGTCTATGGAATGGTTCAAATCATATTTTATAAGGGAAAATACTAAAATATTACTGAATTCTGAAATAACTATCGTATTAATAATGAATTTTTTAAACTCCCAAAATAAATATGAAATCATTGTTTTGACAAAAAAAAAATACTCAACTCCCAAAATTTGGATAAAAAATCTTACAAATATTAAACGCGTTAAAAAATTAACGGATGATCTCACATGGCATTGACATAAAGTCATCCGCATAAAAATTAAATAAAAAATAAAATCATTATAATTAAATAAATTAAAAAATAATTATATATATTAAAATAATAATAATATAAAAAAAATAAAACCTAAAATCTCCTACTACTACTAAAATAATTTAGAAAAAAATGGGTTTTTGCTTTATAGTATAAAGTTTAGGATTTTAAGGTAATTATATAAAGTTCATCTTTTTCTAACTTTTCTAAACATAACAATTTTCGGATTTATTTCTCAAAAATTCGAATTCTTTTTTCTTTTTGGCGACTTTCACATAGGCCTTGAATGATGAGAGTTTTTGGAGTTTTTAGAATCCAAAAACAAAAATAAAAACAACATTCAAGTTTTTATAAAATTACTTTTCCTAAAAACTTGGAAAGCCATTTTAGTGAAAAAATCAATGAAAACCCAAAAGCTACTTTTTTTGAGTTTTCAAATATTATAAAATCCAAAAACCAAAAACCAAAAACTAAAAACCAAAATTCAAAAACTAAAACCAAAAACCCGAAATAAAAGACATCTTCATTCAAAGCCATAGTTTCGAGTGGGGAGAGTTCATGATCGATAAGTTTCGGTTGCACCTATTACAGCCCGTGTAGGAAAAGCACGTAACACCACGTGCAAATGGGCAATGGACGATGCGGTCAAAAAAGAGGGCCATGTTGATTTAACGTTGAAGATCACCACTACGAACAAAAAAAAAATAAGAACATGTTTTTTTAAATAACATAGCATACAAATAAAACGTCTGATTTTTTTTTTGTCTGGGTCTATGGAATGGTTCAAATCATATTTTATAAGGGAAAATACTAAAATATTACTGAATTCTGAAATAACTATCGTATTAATAATGAATTTTTTAAACTCCCAAAATAAATATGAAATCATTGTTTTGACAAAAAAAAAATACTCAACTCCCAAAATTTGGATAAAAAATCTTACAAATATTAAACGCGTTAAAAAATTAACGGATGATCTCACATGGCATTGACATAAAGTCATCCGCATAAAAATTAAATAAAAAATAAAATCATTATAATTAAATAAATTAAAAAATAATTATATATATTAAAATAATAATAATATAAAAAAAATAAAAATTACTATCTATAGATAAAAAATAAAAATAATTGTAATTATATTAAAAATAATATAAAAATAATAAACATTAAAAAATACAATAAATATATACAAATAAATACATGTATATACCCATATATGTATATATATACATACAACACACGTATATACATTTAACATACATGTATTTATAATTTTTTTAGTGTAATTATATATGTATATATATATATATGTATGTTCATGTATATATATGTTAAATATATGTATTTATTTGTATATATTTATTGTATTTTTTAATGTTTTTTATTTTAGTTATTTTAATTATTTATTTTATATTTAATCTTTATATGACGTGATAGATGAAGATCGTTCGTTAACTTTTTTTAATATCGTTTAGCGTCGATCATATTTTTTTTTATCAAAATCGATGAATTCATATAAATTTTGTGAGTTGTATTAAAGTTTAGTAATTTATTGGAAATGAGTGGTTTTATATTTGTTGCTGAAATTGAATGGTCTAGATCGTATTCATCACATCAACGATTCAATCTTACTTTATCCGATCATCGAATTTTAAATCCAAATGATTTTGAAGGAATGAAAGGTTTTGGATCCGAATGGTTGAAATCACGCGCAAGGGTAGATGTGCCTTTTTTCTATTATTAGATATAGTTGTTGAAATTCAAACATTTGATTTCCGAGATCGTCTTATTAGATTCGGTTGGTTTCATTACTTATTAGATTCGGTCGGTCCAACGGATTACATATATAAAGTCTGCTAAGCCAAAATACACAAACTACAACGTCTCAGACCGTTAATGCGTCTACATGTAATAAGAGTGACTTCATATATCCGTAAACCCTATGGTCTTGCCCGATATATAATATAACTATAAGTATAACAAAGAGAAAACAATAATACAAATTCATGCCAGGAGAGGGTACAAGTCGTATCTTTGAGTTATTATTACATCATACAATAAATTAATATTCGTACAGCCGCAACGAGAAAGAAGGATCTCTTCGATCCGTGCTCTATTGGAGTCAAAAGAATACAGAAATCTGTACTCCTTTTCATCAAATCAATGTTTCTCACTTTGGTGTGTGTATGTATATATATGTATATATATTATATAAATATGCAGTGAGATTTTATTAAAAAATTCGTATCAAAGGGTTAAAGCTTTCCTGAGTTGCAAAACCCAAAGAGCGAGATGCATTACCCAAAGCCTGGCTTCAACAGAGAATTCCTCCAACCAGATGCTTAGCCATTTCAAGAACGATCTCTCTTGCTGCCTCTTTGCCTCCAGAACGGCTTCCGACGATACTTTCCCGATGATCATGAACGAATCCATCGACGATCCCTGCAGCTGTTCGGAAAAAAACCCGCCGAGATATCAGGGGTTCAAGTCCATTAAGAAGGATAAAGAGAATACAGAAGAAGCAATACCAGGGCGTTGTTTACTGCTCTTAGACAGTCGTTGGTTTTCAGCATCAGCAGGATTACTCGAGGCAGCCTCCTCAGGAGCTCGGAGATTTGAGGGAAGTATTGTGATGCATACATCTGCTCGAGATCATTTGTTTGTGAGAATATGAAACCGGTAGGGGTGGGCGTTTAAAACCGAGATCCGCGGGTTTTCAATTATCCGGGATGTGGGCATCTAGCCACCAATGATGTCCAAGATGGGTGTGATGAGGTGAGGAATCCAAACCGCAAATCCGGATTCGGGTTTTTTTTTTCCGAACAACGGTTTACCCGCTGGTACCGGGTAGGAGTGAAATGATGTTTATATCATTGATATTTTAGTGTATTTACAATAATACCTATGTAGAATTTTCGTGTAAAACTACCATTATACCCATAAAGTCAACTAGAGTTAACAAAAATTTGAACATTTCCCCATCATGAAACCCGTCAGGACGAGGCCAAGGTCGGGTACCCACTCCACGAAACATTTAGAAGCAAAGAGTGTGGAACGAGATAGGAAATTCTAGAGAATGGATAATAACAATAATACCTGTAGCTCCGAGCGATCTTCGTTGGTGCCTTTAATGACTAAGTGATCTACGGATGTATCGATGACCCGATTCCACGGCCTCATAGTAAGAATCCCGGCAAAAAGCACATATAGATCATCTCCAGCTCCCAACTTCACACTGTATTCCTTAATGGCGTTCACATCGGAAAAGATCAAGGCCTGTTTCACAACAAACATAGAACAGAAGTATCAACAAAACAGTTGCAGATAGCCACATAAACAAGAGAATAATCACATAGAAAAGCGATGTGGACCTTCCATAACGCAGCGTAGTTATATCTTGTGTTGAAATCGAGCTCCTTGTACAAGCCATGGTCCAGAAGCACCAATTGTGGTTTTCTATTGCCTACCATTCAGTCGGGCAATTGTCACTAAGATGATATATATATATATATATGTATGTATGTGTACATATATATATGTGTGTGTTTGTGTACGTCACATGGAATAGCCGTGACAGAGAAATTACTTACCGAGTATGTTCCTTTTCCCGGGGGCGGGCCGAACTATCATGTTGGCGGAATGGGGGTCACAATGCACAAACCCGTGTTTAAATGTCATCTCTGCGAAAGCTTGACTGACCTGAAAAAGAAGATGGTTAGCTAATCAGAATTCGCATCTAACAATTTCTTCCTTCGTAAAAGATTTACGGGAACACAGAAAAACAAAAGTCCTACAAAGAACAATATCGCAAGGGCAAGATCAAAGGTAAAACAGCTTACTAGCTTCGAGACGTCATGGGGGTGAATTCCAAGCTTTCGGATCATCTTCACATCACTAACTTGAGCACCATCCATGAATTCCATGGTCAACAATTTAGTGGTGCTCAAATTCCAATACACCTTTGGTGCATAAACGTACTCTGCAATATGGGGAGACAGCTTCCTAAAATTATCCAGACATTTCTCACTGTTTTTCGCTTCGACCAAAAAATCTAGTTCCTGATGACAGAATTACATTAATAAACAACAGAAACTAAAATATTGCATCAATGACAATAAACATTCCACGACCAGAAATGCTTCAGAATACAAAAAACTTGGCCAAAAAAGAGAATGGAGCAAATAGGCCTATTTACCCCGGTAGTCTTCCTTTATTATTAAAACTATAATTTTAAAGAATAAACCATAGCTGCCTACCTTTGGTAAACTTTCACCCATTTCTTCAACCAACCACCTAAAAAAAATACATAAGGCAATAAACAAATCGTGAGAAGCAGCCCGCAAAGTTTGTGCAATAAGATCAAGGCTAGTGAGGAAAATCTAGAGCTTAAATACTAAAACAGCGATATCATCTGAACCAAGTGAGAAAGAAATTACACCTATAATCAAATGATGGGAAAATCCGATACAAGCTATTCACTATAAGTCCTACACCTGCATGATCCGCAGCTGCAGTGTCTGTCATGTGCGCATGCTGAACCTGGGTACGGAGAAAACAAACAAGTTCACCACCATAGACATCAAAACCAAGAGAAAATTCATGAGGTCAAAACCTATAAACATTTACAGCTATTTATAATTGAAACCTCATCACATAAGAAAACAATTAACGTCATTGGACCTTGACAGCAACTTTTCTCCCATCATGAGTGCGAGCAACATGAACTTGGGCAAGGGAAGCACTTGCAATCGGAACAGGATCAAATTCAGCAAATACCTGCAGATGGAAAATGGATCAGTCTGTTACAAGTTTTAAAAATAAAATCCTCATCAAGAAAGTCGACAAAAAAAGTGTATTAACAAAGAAAAAAAGCAGCAAATGACATCCAAAGTAAGAATCCAAGAAAGCATTAGGCCATTATATTGATCAAACTGTTACTTGTGGTTTGGAAAAACAGAGAAGAGAAATCCAAAGATAAGTATGGGCATAGTAAACACCTTATCTGGTGTCTCTCCAAGCTCTTTCTTGAAAACCGCACACACTTGCTCGTACGAAGACACGGGGCATCTGTTCAACATTGATTCCCTCATAGTTCGGACATACTCTTCAGGCACTAAGTATTCCTTGAAACATGGAAAAAACATTTGGTTTCTTAACATCAAAGCAATCCAAGAAGATAGAAAAACACCGGTAAAACTCAGAAATTCAATGAGCAGAATATGAGCATACAAGTTGTCCTATATGTTGCCCAAGTTTGATATAGATTCCTCCATTTTTGAAACAGAGCTCTTGGAGCTTACGGGCTGATCTCAAATGGACTTCATGTTTAACCCTATCCCTCTCACTGCTTCCTTCCGGCAAACCCAATAGCGAGTATTCATAATCTAACAACATAAGCACATGTACATAACGTTACCACTGGACAATAAAACTGAAAATGACAAGATTATGTAATCCGAGACACCACGAAAATGCAGATTTTCAGACAGAGGAAATCAATTCATAAACCTTTAGCACATATAACTAATCAATAAATTGAGCCAAATGAATACAAACATCCCAATACAATCTCACGTAGCACCAATCTCACTATCCGAGGATTCCCCAAGATATGATTCCCTAAGATTTCTACAAAGCACCAATATTACCGGAATTCCCAAAAATACGAAACATTTTGCACCTGGAAGCCTACCTAATTCGCAAAATCAACCATAACGCAGATCAGAAGCTGAAAACCAACAAAAGAGCAAAGAATAGAAACAAAAAAACTAAGAGATATCCAAAGACGAACGCTGCAACAAATAAATCTTGTAAATGTCGATCATTCAACGCACCGAAAGCAATAGAGGCCGCGGTTACGGCGTCGCGGAGGAGGCGGACGGGGACGGTGGTGCACAGCTTGAGGGTTGCTGCAGGGTCATCGGAGGAGGCGGCGGCAGCGGCGACGGAACCACCGCAGATCGCGGCGGAGACAACCATTAGCCTTCCTCCGCTTCTCCACAGGAATCGCGCGGCCATGGGAAAAGGAACGTTGAAGCTGAAAGAACGAGCCGACCCGACAAGGCTCAGAAATCTTGGGGCGAAGGTTATCAGCGATCAGTAATTGGGCCCTTAATGGGCCTAGAAATACATGGGCCCGTGAAACATTAAGAGATAATATATATATATGTTCATATCATATGTATGTATGTGTGTGTGTGTATATATAATTGATCGAATATGTAATTTGGGAGTCCTTGATTTTCCTGTTAATACCTCTTTTCCGCGGGAGTTAGCATTCCTATCTCAATCTTTTGTGGTATTGAATTAGTTAAGATTGTAGTGTAGAATCTCGCTCGATTTTTGCAATTTTATTTTTATTAAAAACTAAAAAGATGATATATAAACATTTTAAAAGTAAATGTTCAAAATTCTAAAGAATTGCATAAACTTTATTCTAAATACCAACGAATATACGAACATTCACAACAATACCAAATGGACTCATGAGTATGTTTACAGACACCTTGGTGTACATGTATATTTCATTTTTTTTTATTTTTTTATGATGCGATGGTTGAATATAATTATTTTTTACATTTTGTATCACTTTTTGTCGTTAACGGACCATGAACATTCATTGAAATTTATTAAATTATATGGGATTTTTTTGCGCTATAATTAATATAATTTATTAAATTATATGGGATTTTAAAAAAATAAAAATAAAAAGCAACGGAAATGCAATCCTAATTCCGTGTGTACAAAAGGAAAATCAAATCTCCCTAAAAGACTTCAGGTTGGTGTTGAAATGGAGTTGACGTGGGCAAACGTGAATGAACCCCCCTCTCTCTCTCTCTCTCTCTCTCTCTCTCTCTCTCTCTCTCTCTCTCTCTCTCTCTCACAAGCATATATGATTGTGACACAAATAAAAATATCCAACTTGAATGATTGTTATTAAATAAGCGACAAAAAATGTAACTTATAATATCATGACACTATATAGGAAAAATATAGATAAATGACAGGAGTTATGTTATCCCTAATTCAATATATTGAAATATGAAATATATATTAGTTTTTTTAGTACATACGTGTGTGTGTTTAATAATAATAACACTTGCGTCATGTAAGTTTAGCATCGTTAAGATTAATGTTAATTATCCAAATTATTTTTTTAGTGGATATCGCCAAAAAAATCGTGTATTCTTCTCGAATCGAAAAAATTCTGAACTTTTTTGTTTACCAATTAAACCCTATATTTAGTATGATTAACATATAAAATCCTGAACTTTTTAAAAATTCGTCGAAAACTCCCGCATGTACCAATTCAAACAAAAATGATGATGTGACAATGACACGGCTTCCAAGTTATGATCACATCATCATAATTATGCCAAATCATCATTTTAAACAAAATTTAAATTAAATAATTTATTTAAATTAACATATATACATACAAATTCACATATACATATACATATATATTAAATATAAAATTGCTTATAACTAATAAAACACATATACATATCTATGATATATATATATATATATATATATATATATATATATATTATAAATAATATATATACATATTATTTTTAATAGATGTATAATATGTATATATGTTAGTTATAATTATTTTTATTTTAATATGTATATTATCACAACATATATATATATATATATATATATATATTATAAATTATATTAAAAATAATATATACATATACATATTTTTTAATATATATTGTATATATATATGTGTTATAATTACTTTTATTTTAATGTACATATTAGTTGTATATGTATATGTTGTATATATAACTAATATATATACATATTATTTTTAATATATATATTATATGTACATAATATGTATATTAGTTGTATATATATATGTTGTATGTATAACTAAATATATATATTATTTTTTAAAAATCGATGTTTTATGGGTTAATCACACCAAATACAAAGTTTAATTAATAAGTAAAAAAGTATAGATTTTTCGTTGAGATTTTTTTGGTGATTTTTTTTTTTTATAAAACTAATATAATTTAGTATTATTGATATGTATATATAGCGGAAAGCAAATTAATATCTTCTTTTTAAGGATTTGGATGTAGAGGTGTATTGTAGTAATTCGGAGATTGTAAGGTAAGGACAAAATGATTTTGAGTTGAGACATGAATCTTGAAGGTATGGATGATTATGGTTCGGCTAAGAATCTCGTCATTGTTTTATACACTGTGGTAATGTGGACTTATCGCAACCCCACACACACACACACACACATATATATATATTAAAGTTTCACAATGAAAAATAAGTCGAGATGGTTATGAAAAAATGATAAGGAGAAAAATAAGAAAAACAAATAACACATGGATTTAAATGAAAAATTCAAATAAGAAAAAAATCTATGGATAGATTGAAAAAATCTAAGGATACACACTTTAATGTTATATTTGTTGTTGTTATTGTACTTTTCTAACAAACGACCACATATATAAAAAGTGTGATAAATAAAAATATTTCCGAATACAAAATTAACAGTTAATCTAAAGTCCAAAAGATATATATAAATATATCCAAACACAAAACAAATATTTAATACTATTGAAAATCTTCATATGATATGGTAAACATAGCGGGAGGTCGAGAGTTTAATTCTTTATCCACTCATCTATCACCTATTAGCAGTGGCGGACGCACGTTGATTGTAATGGGGTATATGTCCCCATTAGTTTAGTTAAAAAAATATAATTTTTTTTTGTAAATTTTTATAAATTTGAAAATAAAATTGAAAATGTTCCCATATTATAATGGAAAATTTATGTTTGCTCTCTCTTAAACAATTTCATAGATCTGCCATTGCCCGTTAGGTACGACTAATTCATCTCTTACATATATCTCGTGAGTTCGTACGCATAAAAAAAAAATTTACCCAACCAACGCGTCTGAAGGTTAGTAGTTGAAATTCTCCATGATATATATATAAAAATAGAATTACCATATGTCCAAACCCCAAAGTAGAATTCGAATCACAATCTTAAACATCTTCAATTTGAAAAGAATTCGCAACCATCAACAAATTCCCTTCTTCCATTTGCCCTAAAAGGGCCAAATCAATTTTAATTATATATTCATAATGGTGTTCATTTTCTTGCAAGCAAAGAACGAGACTTTGCCAAATGGGCAATGCCACCGTAAAAAGGCCATGTATGCATGAAAACGATTGTGGGTTTGATTGCTGAATATCCACGTGGAGCTATCAAATCCTTCATCCTCATCTGTATAACAATATAAATTTTTACGAACCGACCGTCGTCCTAGATGGTGGAAAGTTGACGTAGAAATGTTGCTGACGTGGACCAAAGTGGAATCTGACGGCTCAGATTTGGCCATGGGACCGAACCACCACCACCCACTTGTCTCCTCTCTACGCGACTATACATATATATATAAATCAAATCACATTTCTAAATCGGATATAGATTACTAAATACGTATAGTTAGTTAGATCTAATTTTTTTATCTGATGAATTATTTTTTATTCATATAAAAAAAAACCATCGTTACCCATTTGAGAAAATAAAATTATAGTATTCTTCACTCTGTGCTGACAATTTTATAAACGTAACTATATATATAATAACCATGAGACAAATTAAATCAACCGTTAAACCAAAACATTCGTTGTTAATTCGTTATACAAGTTGAAAAGGAAAGAAGGCAATCATCATGTTCCAAAACCTTATTATCCATATATATATGCAGATTTGAACCGTATTATATAGGACCACATAATATATAAATGTTATATCAAAAAACATTTTATAAGAAAAACATAATTCTAAAGAATAATCACCGTAAAACTCAAAAGAGGACATGTTCGTTGTGAGTCCCATTACTTTAACTAATTGAATGTTCTTCGTTGCCCGTCAATTTCGTGGCCTAAACTCATTACTTCAACAAAAAAAAATGTTTTTTTCTTCATATTCGAATGTAAGTACATCGACTATATGAGGACCGACACTTGGTCTAAATTCAAGCTAATTGAATTATCATAATAGGTATATCACTACTTTTATACAAAACAAAATCAAATTAACCAAATAACATACATATATACATAAATATATATTTTAATTGAATTATATCTAAAAAAAATATTAGGTTTAATTGTTTAAAACTAAACTAATCGAATTTGAAAACAAATGGAAATGGGTGAATTTATAAATTTAATTGTCAAATACAAGATAACTATTACTTTATTAGTTTTAAAAAAAATCCACTGTAAAAAGTATCATATTGATATATCAATTTGTAATTTTATAATAAAAAATAACTACTTGTTATTTGAATTTATAAAGTTAGTGTTAAATAATATTTGATGGAATCAGACGTCCAAATTTCTACGTTGCACCTAGAAAATATGACGTGATAAACATAAACAATCACACATTGTCCTCGTTCACGCCGTTTCACAAAAAAAAAAAAAAATCCCACATCATCGAAAAATTGCCTCGTCAATAAATTAAAAAAAAAACAAGTATATATACATATATACCATATATATATCTATACATATACGCATATATTTACATATATATATATATATTATACTCACACGTATACATATATATACATGTATTCCTATGTGTATATACATATTGATTTTTTTTTTTAAATTATTGATGTGATAAAATTTTCCATGAAGTGCCATTTTTGTGGTGATGCAGTGTTGACGTGGACAATGTGTCATTATTTATCTTTTATCTTATCACGTGTCACGTACAAATTATATCTAATTTCGCTAAGGTTATTGAACAATAGTGATTAACGACTAATTTGGTACTAATCAGCACTAAATTGATAAATGTTGTTATGGTATTTAGAGATAAATAATTTTATTTAATTGAAAATTTATGTATTAGTCACTTTTTGAATTTATTATATTTTATGAAAATTTTAAATATAATTGAAATAGGTAAAAAAAAAATTTGATAAACATGATGGTTCATCGTACCTTCGATCCAATTAGATTCACCCTAAATCCAGGACCAACCTTTGTATATGGACCATTTTTATCCAAAAATTACATTCTTCCTCACCCGTGTAATCGAATCAAGACTTTGAAAATAATTTTGTCATCTATCAACCAGTGGGCCACCAACTGTTGGGTTAAATAGATAAAAAGTTATAATATGAATAGGTATATATACTATTAGTGGTGGAATTAGAAAAAAATATAAATGGAGACATGGATTTTATACATATAATTTTATAAAACCAAATGTCATTTTAATGGGGCATTGGACAGTTTTCTTAGTATTTTTACAAAATTTATACATAAATTTTATTATTATTTTTAATTTGAATGGAGGTCTGTACCCTCACTCCTCATCAAGTATATCCGTCTCTGTATATTATATACTATATAGTGGTAAAGCTTTCGCCAAATTTTTCACGAAAACGTAAATGCAATGAATGAATGTAATAAACTATATAATCTCATAATATTGACGGGATTTACAAAACTTTAGCTGAAAAATATTTTAAAAAATTATACATACAAATAAATCCAACGAATTTGGGGAAAACATCACCTAGAGATTCGTTAGGACAATAAACTTGCATGTGGTCACATGTTAAATGGCTCGGTTCCTCCATACCCGCTTTCTTTGGATTTATGGTCCAATTCATATATATATATATATATATATTTATATATTAATCATAGGGTGAGGTCGTGGGAATAATATCTAGGTAGTAAGATCATTAGGCAACTAAACCGGATTAATTAATTTTGAAAAGGTTCCTTTCGAATTAATCAATTTCTATATTATGATTAATTTATATTCAAGAAAAAATATTGTACCCGGATATGGAGTATTATGTGTTTAAGCACTTTAACAGCGTAATTACTCTGTCATCATAGATAACAATATCATGCCACGGTATCATATAAATAAAATTCGCTTATGTATGATTCTTTTAATTAAATTAAACGGAAACAATTTTTAAATAAATATTTTTAATGGAAATCAAATCAAAATAAAAATACGAATACAATAAACATGAATTAAATCCAAAATTTCAACCCCCTATGTCTAGATAGATCCCCCCACACAAATACACCATGATATTTGTTTTTACCTTACAAAGGACGGTTTTAAAAAAGATGGTAACTTTCAGAAATGGTCTTTTCCGTCGTCGTGCTTTAAGAAAAATAAAATATATTTTTTTCAAAAAAAATGTTCATGACGTGATGGAAGTACCAAAATTTAAAAATCCTAAAATAGACGAAAAAAATAATCAGTGTTTCAATATCATATTTTGAAGGTGCTATTATTATTATTATTATTATTATTATTATTATTATTATTATTTTAAAGATGTAAAAAAATCACAAACGAAATTTAGTATCATAATTATTGGAACAAAGCCTATACCATAGAACACAATATCTCTTGCCATTAACGTCTTTTATTTTATTTTATTTTATTTTATTAAGGACATAAATTCATTATTAATTTAACATTGCAAACTCCTTCAATCGATTTAGGTATTACCGTTATTATAAGGATGTGCTGAAACCTAAGAGGTTATAATTTTAATGTCAAAATTAAATAGAATAGTCATAGTCAGCTTTGAACAACACAACAGTCAAAGGACTCAACAAATGAAATATTTATAGAATTTCTTTTTTTATTATTATTATCATTATTATCACAGATTTTCTTGTTTTGTTGTTATTAAGTTTTCTAGATTTACAAGGTTCCAAATTATTTACTTTTTTTTACAAACACCAAATCATTAAATCTATTAATTTTTATTTTAGTTATTATACACATAATTACCTATATATATATATATATATATATATATATATATCATTGTTACAAAACTGCTAGATGCAGTAGACAGATAAATGTAAAATTACCAAATCTATTATTTGCTTATTTTTCTTTGCCCAATGGAACTATGAATTAATTCATTCTATTAATTCGTAAATGAAAAAATATGCGCAATTATTACCTTTTTAGCAAATATATCGTTTTTTCATTCACAGACATACTTATTTAGTTTTTTTTTTTTATAAAACATACTTATTTCGTTAAATTAATTTTATTTTCTAATAGTCAAATTATGCTTGTTTGTTTTACTAATTTACCTTTTTCCCTTTTATTTCTATTTTATATTCAGCATTTCCTTTTGGTTCGAAAATTTCGTAAAATTGCCCCATAAACATTCAATGAAAATCTTTTGAATCAAGCCAAGGAAATTAAAATAAAAACAATTGTTTTCAAATTTATAAATTATAAGCATCATCATTTGTCTCTTTCCACCACATTTTAAAACCCTCCAAGACTCTGAAGCCTCCTTCAAGCAAAATCTCACCTTTTCTTCGACCTCTGCAACAATCTCTGTACATAAAAAAAAAAAATCCCAAATCAAAAACCCTAAATCCAACATGGGTCTCAGCAAGGAATTAGAGAAGAGCAACAACAAAACCAGAAGATGTTCTTCCCTGTGGAGAAGTATAAAGACAGTGTTCGTTTTGTTCACCATGTTCTTGTCCTTTCTTCTGTTCTCTGCTCCGATTCTCCTCGCCGTCGCCGACGCCGTCGTCCCTTCGGCCATCCTCTCCGCCGCCTACATCCGCCGTGATTCTCCGCCGTCGATCTCTTCTCTTCCTCTTCCGGCGACTCTCCCTTCCCACCTGAGCAGCTATGATTTCCGATACTGTCTCATCGACATACCTCTCGTCTCCATCGTTAGATCCGCCGTTATACTCTGTAAGCAATCGAGCTCTTAAAATCTCCTTCTTTGTTTATCCCTGTTTTGTAAAAATCTGACATAAAGCTTCGGTTTTTCTTCTTCTTCGTGTTCAATTTCAAGAACCCCAGAAACAGAGTTCCGATGCTCTGTTCCAGTTTTAATCAAATCCCATTGAGCATTTCTGTTCGTTCAATGCGTAGATTGTGCGAAAAAAGAGTGGATTTCTGAAATACCCAGTTCGAAATTGGATGAATTTTGGGTCTAGATTCAATTCGTGTAAGCATCTAGAGCCCGACCATGTTCAACGTTCATTACCCAGAACCAGTTCCACATTCTGAACGACATTTTCCAAAAAAAAAACCATCTTTCGATTTAGCCAGAGACTGAAAATCAGAATTATTAAATACCCTTTTCGATTCCTGTAACAGGCGTTTACGGATTCTGCGACGGGCCGATGCTGTCGCGAGGTCCGTATCTAACAATAACGATGATCTGCTCGATTTTGTCCTTGATCTACGTGTCGTTGAAGGCCGCGTTCGTGTTCGGAGAACCGGCGGCCGAAGTCTCCGGAGGCGGAGGCGGCGGAGGATATTTCCGAGCCGCCGAGGTCGCTCTGTTCGTATCGTCGTCGGTCTTAGCCGTTGGTCATATCATTGTGGCATATCGAACAAGTTGCAGAGAAAGAAGAAAGCTCCTTGTCTTCAAAATCGACATCGAAGCCGTAAGTTTTCGAACGTATTCTTACCCTCTTCTTTTGAATAAATTATAACATATGGTTTTGATAATGATCTGTGATTATATTCGTTCGTGATAAAAGATTAGCAGTTGGACCGTTTTTGATTAATTTTTAAAATATATCGGATTATTATTTGATTGTGGGACGAAAGATTCTCTCTGTGAACGGGTCAGAAATAGCATGTGGTTATCGTCAACGTTGAATTTTTAATAACAATATCGACTAGTGTTCTAGAATCTATTGGATTTTTCCAATATATAGATGGGAAAAATGATTTGTCTTTTTTTTTTGTTAAATGGGAAAAATGATTTGTCCCTTGGAAAATATTTGAATTTTCACCCAGTTATTCACTAAAAAAATATATTAAGCTTAGCCTTTAGCATAAATAAATAAAAAATAAATAAATTTATGGTATTATAAGAAAAAGAAATAAAAAATAAAAAATATATACCAAATAAATAATGTTTGATAAAATAATAAATAAAAAGTTATAGGATGCTTGCATATCTTTTTAATTGTAAAAAAAAACCATCTCTGAAAATGTTAAGTAATTAAAAGAGAAGGGATATTTCCGAGTGGAAACCGTGTGAATGGATCGTGGACTTTAACCTAATCTTAAGTTTATTTTTTTTTAATTCAAATTATAATAATCCGACATGACACGTCACACATAATCACTGCTGTCCCATTATGGCTTTCTCAAATACGGAACTGCAAATGTTCTCTCAAAATATCTTTATCATATGCTTTTAATGTCACGTATTAAATATTAAATAAACAAAATAAAATAAAGATTAATTCGTGTGTTTTTTTGCGATAATTCATGCAGGTTTCAGCTTGTAAAAAGGGGTTCCCAAGATACCAAAAGATCCTCCAGCAAGAGAGAATCAGATAACACATTTTTGAAGCAGTTTTTTCAATAGACACATCTACACATGTACATACACATCTACATACACATACACATACACTCTCATATACAATATACATACAAGAAGATGCAACCTCTTCTGGGTTTGGTGTTTGACCCATCAACTGCTTCGCTTCCAAGTTTCAGGTAACAATCAGACCAAAACTCGCAATTTATTTATTATTCTTTAGATCATATATGAAAGTTTGCATAACAATCTGTAAGATTATAAATATATATGTATATATGTTGGTTATATAATCGAGGTAACGAACTTATAAATGCCTTTTTTTTTATTGATGATATATTTATTTTTTGTTGTTACAGAACGGTCCAAAGGATAATCTGTGAAAGCGGGACGAACAGAAAGTGAATGGGGCCTAACGTATGTTCTGTAAAGAAGAGTACAATACAAAAGACAACTTGGTGAATTGGCAGTTGTTATAATTTTTAAAATTTTAAATATCTTAGGGATAAAATATTTAGCTTATATTTAAAAAAAAAACATATAGGAGGTTATCGGTCAATCACCCTATATAATTTGTCTTTTTGTATACACCTGAGTTCATCAATGTGACAAAGAAGCCCAAGGCATCTTTTTCTTCAATCTTCTTATGGATATGTAAACAAATAAATCGAAATAAAAATAAAAAATTCAAATAGGGAAATGAAACCAAATTTTCATGCATGTATATCAAAATATGGTGGGATAACTTGTTTCATAAATGCATGACATATAAATTCCTAACGGAGGCCATATTTTAGGGAAGAACTTCGACATCTAAGATTTTTTATTGGAAAATTTTTTCAAAATCGGAGGGAAAATCTAAGATCAAATTACGAATTATTGTTCTTGATGGGCCGTTGCCATTTGGTTGGGTAACATTTATGGGCTTTTTTCGTAATGGGCCTGGAGCGGAAAACGACAAATATGATATATATATATATATATATATAATGATTTTATATTGGGATGTATGTATGTAGTTTGAAGTTGTTTGTGATTCCCTCAGGGCTGGTTTAGGTTGTTCTCTCAAAATTATATTTAACACATTACGTTAAAAACTGTGTATTATTGAATTATGAATAACGTTTTCAATTACTGTTCTAATCTAATTCTGTCTCAATCAAATGCTAATTAAGAATACCTACCAAGGATTCCACAATGTATGTAGTTGGATCGAAAATTTATTGAATAAATCAATTAAAAAAAATACTAATTAACACAAATAAATAAATAAATGAAATTAAGAATTTTATCACCCTTCTTTGTTTTTGGTTAGAATATTTCATCCCCCTTCTTTGATATGAATTCTCCTTTTTTTTTTCTGATTAAATATGGAAGATAAATATATTTAAAGAGCCATTACATACTCTGTCTCGTCATTGAATAGTATTTTTTAGCATAATCTTATCTATTTTCCAAAATTTCAAAGAAATGAAAACAATTGTTGATTTTTTTTTTAAATGGATACAAATTTTATATATATATATATATATATATGTGTGTGTGTGTGTGTATATGCACACTTTGTCTCTTGCAGATGGGAGTCCTTTTATTTTGGAAGCTCAGTCATCAGTGACTGTTTTTGTAATTAAACTCATTTTTTGGATTAATTCAATTTAACATTCAACAAAAAAAAAAACCTTAACTATTTTCCAAATTTTCAAAGATCAAAGAAACACAAACATGTATCGATTTTTTTATATATTAAAATGTATAACAAATTCATAAAATTAATTTGTACGGCCTGACAGCAAAAGTTTATTATTATTATTATTATTTTTAAGACGAGAGTCAACAAAAAGAATTTATCAACTCTATTAATATAACTGTTTTTCAGCCCTATATCTTTTCAGTCGATTATAAAATTCGATACTAAGTTATAGAAACGACCCGATCCTACTAAAGTTTATTACATCGTTATAAATATCATAATATATAAATAATATTATATTCAACCACTAAAAGAAGGCTGACAAGAAAGGAAATCAACACGTGGTTTAATGACACGTGGCACGTAATAATGCGTAATTTAATTGCTGTCTCCAACGCGTTCATCCCAATATTTATGGAAAAACCCAGACGATTCGAACAACCAACTAGAACTAGGGTATATTTTGTTCATCGGATCGAATCCAGGAACCCTACACTTTCCCTATAATTCCCTCCCCTTCGAATCGCATCCATGTCGAAGCAGACGTACAGAGTGTGTTTCTGCTTCCAGCGGAGATTCCGGCATGCTGTGTCGGAGGCGCCGAGGGAGATCAAAGAGCTCTTCCAAAAGTACTCGGAGAATGGCGTGATGACCGTCGATCATCTCCATCGATTTCTGATCGAAGTTCAGACGGAGGATAAAGCTACGAGTGATGACGCCCAGGCGATTATCAACGCCTCATCGTCTCTTCTTCATCGGACTGGTCTCCATCTCGATGCCTTCTTCAAGTACCTTTTTGGCGACAACAACGTTCCTCTCTCTCCAAGTGGGGTAAATTCTCTTTTCTCTCGTGTTAAACACCGTGACGTAATTGATCTTAGGTTTCCCATCACATTCCTTCATATAAAAGAATGCCCAAGATCATTATATGTCACCAAAACAAAAAGAGATATCCAGCGTAACAAAAACAAGTTATGAAAGAAACCTTGTCTGAGGATATGCATTCCAGCTCGAACCACTTCAACCCACCTTCAATTGCTTGATTGCGTAGAGAAACAGGCAAACGGGGGGGAACGAGATGGTAGACTATAACCGGCCAAATTTTCACAATGTATCTTCCGAAATTTTGTTGGGCATTTCTTGGAGTTTGACTCGAGGATTTGTAGGAAATTCCTTTTTCTGAACTGGGTTTACAGTAAATTTTCCGTTTGGTTGCTGAGAAAACAGTGAGAAGCAACTGAGATATCAGTTTCCCTTTTTACCCGATTTGTTGGGTTTTTGTCCTTTTCTTTTTGGTTCCTGTTGAGTTCGTTTGAAATCTTGTCATGATTGTTCAAGATTTTCAACATCTGACATGAGTTTCATTTCTTTGTTCTGTTGTTGTGTAAATTCGAAACCTTTTGGAGAATAAGAGTTGGAGTTACTTGCTAGGAAAGTGACCGTGAAAAATTTCCCCTTGTACTGGCTATTAGCCATTAACTCCTCCAGAAAGACAATTTTTCCTCTGAATTCAAATGCCTAGGTATTAGACCTTTTGCTATATCTTGCTCAGAAATGTGATTTCGTTTATGTCGGATCTTCTTTTTTGTTTTAGAAAGAATATATATGTGTTTAGTTTATCTCTAATTACTCATTTTCTGATTTTCAGGTTCATCAAGATATGACTGCTCCTTTGTCACATTATTACATATTCACTGGCCATAACTCATACCTTACCGGTAATCAGTTGAGTAGCGACTGCAGCGAGGTTCCTATCATACAAGCACTGCAGAAAGGTGTCAGAGTGATTGAATTGGATATATGGCCGAATTCCAACAAAGACGATATCCATGTTCTTCACGGAAGGTGTGGTCTAAGGAGATTTTAAAACTAGGAAGGATGATGATATGTATCTCTTGGTTGTCGAATTAAGCATGGTTAACATCACAATGATGTGCTTTGTTCTGATTAGAGTGTATTGACCCATTGTAACAGGACACTCACTACACCTGTGGAGCTGATCAAATGCCTTAGAGCTATTAAAGCTCATGCCTTTGACGCATCTGAGTATCCCGTTGTTGTCACCCTTGAAGATCATCTTACCCCAGAACTTCAGGCTAAAGTAGCCGAGGTGAGTGTATTTTGTATTCCTTTGAAAAATGTTTTCTTTCATTGATCACGGGAATAATCTAGAGATGCCACTTTTTTGTTGGATTCTAGATGGTGACCCAGACATTTGGCGATATCCTGTTTACTCCTCCTGCCGGGGAATGTTTGAAGGAGTTCCCCTCTCCAGAGTCGTTGAAAAAACGGATTATCATCTCAACCAAACCACCGAAAGAGTACAAGGAAGGAACAGATGAGGATGGTGAGAAAAAGGGTAAGACCTTGGGTGATGAAGAAGCTTGGGGGAGAGAAGTTCCGAGCTTTATTCAGAGGAACGGAAATGATGACAAGGTTTGAGAGGGACTACCTCACAACATCTTATACAAACTTGTACGCGTTTATATACTTGACTTTGTATTTTTCTTTCTCGTGGCAGGATGATTTGGACGGAGATGAGGACGACGATGATGATGATGATGAAGGAGGCAACAAATCTAAGAAGCACATGCCGCCTCAGTATAAGCATTTGATTGCAGTCCAGGCGGGGAAACCCAAAGGTGGAATAGTTGAATGTCTAAAGGTGGACCCTGACAAAGTGAGACGGCTAAGCTTGAGTGAAGAACAGCTCGAGAATGCAGCAGTAAAACATGGGAAAGAAATAGTGAGGTAATTTCAAGAATTCTTCACAGATTGCCAGAAACTCAGTGTAGTAACATAAAATTCCTGCTATGTTCAACAGCAACATATGAGCACTGTTTGAACTATGTTGGTCTTGGTCTCTTGATCATGGTGTGATGCAGGTTTACTCAGCGGAATTTGCTTCGCATTTACCCCAAGGGGGTACGAGTTGACTCATCAAATTATAATCCATTCGTAGGCTGGAGCCACGGTGCTCAAATGGTGGCTTTCAATATGCAGGTCTCTGCTGCTATTCCTGTAAAATTTCCAGATTTTTGCAGAAAATTAGGCTCCCACTCAATCTTGAAGGATTTCACTCTATTTCATCAGTTAATTACTTGCAATGATTTCAATTCTTGGTATTGCTTTTCCCTGTACAGGGACATGGAAGGTCATTGTGGGTAATGCAAGGAATGTATAGAGCCAATGGTGGATGCGGATATGTAAAGAAGCCCCATATCCTTCTGAAATCCAGCCCTAACAACGATGTCTTTGATCCCAAAGCTACTTTACCTCAAAAAACGACGCTGAGGGCGAGTTTTCTTGTTTCGTCTCATCAATTGTAGCCATTTATCCGTAACTGAACCTTGATAACCCCAAAATGTGTATGTACTGTTATGTTTTCCGTATCTTCAGGTAACTGTATACATGGGAGAAGGTTGGTACTATGACTTCCGCCACACCCACTTCGATCAATACTCCCCTCCGGACTTCTACACAAGGGTAAGTCCATTTCCTTTGATCAGTGTTAGAAATAGAGGTGGAATAATTCCTTCTCTCCTCATCCAAGATGCCAACTTAAACAAAATTGAGCCAGAAACTGGATGGAGATAATACTAAACAAAGACATAAATTTTAGCAATTTGAGAGATTCCCATGGACAGGGGAGTGCAAGATGTTGAAATATGAATGGAAAGTTGAAAACTTTTTCAGGTGGGGATAGCCGGAGTTCCAGCCGATTCGGTAATGAAGAAGACGAAAACCCTCGAGGACAACTGGATACCTTCTTGGGACGAGGCGTTCGAGTTTCCACTCACCGTTCCAGAACTCGCTCTTCTGCGTATAGAAGTGCACGAATACGACATGTCCGAGAAAGACGATTTCGGAGGCCAAACATGCTTGCCGGTTTGGGAGCTGAGGCAAGGAATACGTGCCGTTCCTCTCCATAACCGCAAAGGCGAGAAGTACAAATCTGTCAAGCTCCTTATGAGGTTCGAGTTTGTCTGAGAAGATCCATCTTTAAGGTCCGAACCAGTGGGAGTAATTACAGATATATATATATTATGTATATGTGCTGAAGAGCAGAGAATGTGGTCGTATTACCACTTTTACATGGTGTGTTGTTTGTATTGTTATTATTACGAATGATGGGGGATAATGAAATATGATATTCCATGTGTACATATAAGCTTTGTGTAGGGGTAATAAATTAGTAATAATCTTGATACCTTGTCTCTAATTTGGTACATAAATCTGAACTGAAAAGATGTATTTCTGTTTATATTGAGGTTATTGTTTTTAGATTGAATTTTAATAGAAAACTTAATATGAAAATTTTTAAATCTGAAAGGAAAAATTTTAAGTGAACTTTTTAAAACGGAAATAAAGACCAAAACTAAGTCAAACCAAACATTTTAGTGTTAGAGATATTCTAATGGTTAACTGAATTAGGGATGTGATGTCTCGTGTTCTATTTTGACTAAATATGTTTTAAAAAAAAATAGTGTTTAACTTTGTCTTAGTGTCAACTGGAAAATAAAATATTGAAATGGACGTCCAAAAGATATGGATAAACCGAGTCAATATCTTCTCCATATGGATTAAGATTCTGAGTCCATATATATCCCTTTCTCATATTTAATTTTTTTTTATAACCTTAATGATTCCACCTTCGATCCGGTTATATCTAATCTAATTTAGGTGAAGGACTAGTCTTTGTATATAGAAATTATATCTCTTTGAATCGAACCCAAGAATCAAGACCTCGAAGATAACTTTCTGGGCCACCAATTGTTGATTTGGGATGAGAAATTACTAAAACCATTTGACAAAATCACAATCTTAAAGGGAATTTTACACGAACCCAAAGAATCTGATGTAAGAATCCAAGATCCGGTTCCGCCTTCAAAAAAAAAAAACATGGTTGTCTTAAATGGAGACGAATCTATCATACATTATACCCCCAATGGCATGTTTTCTGCGCCTTTTCTTTGGTCTTTATTCCCCTTCTCCGGCATTCACAGGCAATCACTATACGGACTTCCATGAGCCTCTGTGTAGTCACAAGAAGTTAGAAAGCCTTTCCTTCTGTGATGGTGATGGTGATGGTCATGGTCATGGTCATGATGAAGTGATATGCCCTCTAACCGACCCGGAAAGTATAAATCGAAGAATTTATTGTTTTACCCTTTTGGCTTTTTTTTTAGGGTTCTTCGATGTCTAGCATGTCGCCGATATGCCTTGCTTCTCGAACCACTCGGGCATGTGGAACCTATCATAAAGTATCGGTCTGATGTCTTCTTGCTCGGAAAGATGCTTCAGAAGTGGCAAAATGACGTCTAGAAGCTAAAACATGGGTTTTCGAAAAAGGCAACCACGTCAATTCCCGCAAGCATAAATAAGATGTTATGGAATGTGTATATGAGTATGGATTTTTTCCGAAAATACCTGAGTATCATTTGCCTGGCCTGCAGAGAACGGAATGCAGGGAATTCCGTTTAGTGGTTGTAATAGAAAGCTGAATGGATTGTTGTCCACAATAACAGTCCGGCACATGTTATTTGATGTACATGACAGATCCTTCACATGATCGCGGTATTGCCTGATAAGAACGCATACCGCATATCTCAGATTCCCAACATTAGACAAGAACGAGATTGGCTGAGGAAAAAATAGAGAGAACTTATTTAGGAAAACTTACGTGCTGACTGTTGAAGGTCGATAAAGACGGAGGCTGAATGCATTTCTGGTGTCTATTCTGTCCACGAGTGGTCTGGCATATCCTGCAGGCACAAACACGGGTTTCTGTCAGGATTATAATCGAGCATGAAAGCGAAATATAGTGTATACATCCGTAAAAGTCACACGAGAGACCTTCAAGACCAGCGGTAAACAGAACAAGATTGGCAAACTGGCTGAGTTGCTCTAAGAATTCATGCAACCCTGGACGCTCAAACACCGTGACGTAATTGATCTTAGGTTTCCCATCACATTCCTTCATATAAAAGAATGCCCAAGATCATTATATGTCACCAAAACAAAAAGAGATATCCAGCGTAACAAAAACAAGTTATGAAAGAAACCTTGTCTGAGGATATGCATTCCAGCTCGAACCACTTCAACCCACCTTCAATTGCTTGATTGCGTAGAGAAACAGGCAAACTGGATGTCTCGTAAGCGCAGATTAGAGTTTCATCCAAATCAAGAACAACCTGCAATTCAAGTTTAGGGCTCTCAGACTACTCACAACACTAACAATAGCTATTTGGCAAGCTTAGTTCAGAAATTTTTAATTGGCTTCCACCATGACGTCCATAGGCTCCATAATATGGTTAAAATCCAGCCGGGTTAATGAGAATTAGCTTAAGATGGCAAATGGTGAACGAAACTAAAACCTAAAGGCTCTAACTCCACATTAAAAAAAAAAGTACTCTTTTCACTGTGAAAGATAGCGGGAGAGCAAAATCAGAAACCAACAAATCATTCTACAACATAGATGCAGATGGAGGTATGGGATGCAAAAAGGCATGTCAAGTCATAAGTCATAAGACACGGCTATACTACAAAATGTACAATTAGACAACTATTTCAGAGTGTAATCTGGTCCCAGACTTTTGCTCTCGCGTTCTATAAACGCATCTTTTCTATCATATATCAAGCTCGCATCAAAATCTCTACTATCCCAATTCCAAGCACGTTCCAAAACATATGGTACTTATTCTACATTGTTGTTTGTGAATCAGACCTTATAGCCCTGACTACACCTTCATGGAACCCGATAAAGACGAATAGAAGTCTTATTCCTCCACCGGAACAAGAAATTATATGCTACATACACACATACACACACACACACTGCCTACCGATTTATTTTCCCTCTATTGCATATTCGCCAACTTATAATCTACACATGATTACTGAATTATCACACTTCTAATACTGATAAAATACGCTTTCAGCTAGTCCTCTACACGTGCAGAACGAACTAAAAACTAGAAACTAGTTCAGAATCGTACGCTTGAGACCCATTCTATGCCAATAATTTCCTTCCATTACATGATTATGATAATCACTAGCTTAATCAAACAAAATTAGAGTAGACATGAACGAAACAAGTAAAAGTGCACTGTGCACAACAATTCCTGGATCCACGTTTCGATTAGGGAACAAGATTTATCTACATCACGCTAACATATCTATGAAAACGCATATTCCCAAATTTTAGGCCTCGTCAAACCCTATGCTACGAATTCCCTGATCGACAATTCTCGGATAAGAGAACAGTTTCCTTGAAGCATAATTTTCAAAATCAAATCAATTTCAGAAAACTACGAAATCCATGCACATACCGTGAGCTTCGCGAAGCGTCCGCCATAGCCATGGCCATCGCGTTCACCGTAGGTTCTCCCTGAGGCGATTTCTACGGTAGCGGGAGATTCCGACGCCAACTCGGGCAACTCGACGACCGGCAAGGGTTTGAACCCATTAGCGACGGCCTTATCAGAGGAAGACGACGAGGACGAGAGAAGGTGATGGTAACCAACGGCACGAAGGATCTGAAGGAAGATCTGGTAGAAAAAAGCGAGCCAGTTCACAAGAGCCTTCCACACTTGAAGCGACCGAGGCGAGTACACCACCTCGGCCTGAGTCAACTCAGCCATGAATCACGCCGATTCGAGCCCACAGGAAGGGAGACGGCACGATCAATGGAACGGAGAAGGAGCCTCGTGAAACAGAGATGTGGCGCTGGATACGCTAACGTGCGCAGTGTGCCGTAAGACTCCCGGGTTTCGTCGTCCTCGCTCTCTCTCTATGATGGTGATTTTAAAAAACAGAGATATGGCCACGGCGATGGTTTGATGATGAAATCCTTTGAAAAGACCCCATTGATCCACGCGCTTCCATACAGTTTTTGAGAAACACGCGCTATTTTGCTGTATGTATTTATTAAAACATATAAATGCATTAATATAATAATTCAATCTTGCGCAAATGCTTGTCCGTGCGTACCAACCTACAATATTTCAGCGGTTGCAAAAAAAATTATATATGGTTGGATATTACTTTATAATTTTAAAATAATGATTTTGTTAAGAATTATATATTTGTTGGCATAATTTTATGCAAATTGTGGCAATTAAATACTTTTAGATTTTTGTCCACTTGTTAATTGGCATTGAACATATAGAATTTACATATATGTATATTAAATATTTTTCGGATATTAATTTATGTCATAGTATTTTATGTATATTTTGTTTCTGAAAGGTAACAAAAGCTGACTAAATACTAAAAAAATAAAAAAGAATGATAAAATCTCTGTCACTTCAGGTTGTTAGTTTAATAAGACCATTGATTTATTGAATTTGCTCGTATATTTATTTATTTATTTATATGCTTTCGGTTTACTTGACATGTGGCTGGAATTTAAATTTTGTAGAACAAATAATCATAAATTAAACCGTTGATGGTTATACCTATATCAAACTATATGTTTTTTTCAAGTCTGAACAAAAATAAAATGTGAAAAAATAAAATAAAAGATTTGGAAGGTGGAACTTAAAGAGGAATTTGCCAATTATAAAAAGACAAATTTAAAAGGTGGAGTTGCGTCGGCGTCGGTCCATTTCTTTTTATTTAATTCGTTTTCTCAGTTAAAATAAAAATATTTTATTTGTTGTTTTTGTACTTGTATATCTCGTATTTCATCTCCTCATAAAATATATTTTTGCACATAATAATTAAATAATTGAGCAAAAATTATTTAGTTATTCATTTTCTTCTACTGAGTTCATTTCTTTAGCCAACTTGTCTTTGGTCAAACTTGAACCAATCAAACCCTCCGGCCCCCATGGGGACGCAAAAGACTATGCATGAAAATAAAATGATAAGGAGACTTTGAATAATTAATTAAATATGATTTTAAACAAAATAGCTAAATACATTTAATTGATCACTTTTCAGTTATCTAAATCATACTCGATTTATTTCACAATATTCTAACTCCACATTCTCTTTTTCCGAGTATTTGTATGAAGAAAAAGGTCGATACTTGTCTTTATATTATCAATATTTATTGTGAATAAATTACAAATCTTAATTAAGCGATTATGGGTTTAAATTGATTATGATTTGTTAGATTAATGGTTATGGCTTAAGTCTTCCTAACTCTATTATCAAAGCCTCTTCCTCCGGCCGATAAATTTCCATTTTTAATTTATTTACCAATATCTTGCAAATGGATCGACTTATTTTCGACCGGTAATAACTAAAATAATATTTACATTTTTCATTTAGTAATGATGTCAGAAACTCTTTTTTTTTTTTCTGAGGGAAGCCATTGACATTTGGGCTCAGTTTTTTTATTACGACCCTAAACTTCAAAGAAAATTATTGGGCCTACATAACATTAATGGGCCTTCAATAATTAAATAAATGGGCCAGGCCCATATTTATTTCCCACCCGAAGCTAGGAACTTCCATAATTTCCATTCAACGAATTGTTGTCGTTTTTTTTTTGGGGGGTAAATCAATGAATTGTTGTTACGGTTGAAAACTGAATCAATAACTGTATTTGTTAATGAAAATCTCTTTAACAAATACATATGCTTCTTTCTTAGTGAAAAATGAATCATTTACAAATTCGAAGTAAAAACGGGACGAGTAAAGTGGTTAAAAAATTGGAACCAAAACATAACCTAACCGAGTAATTTTTTGTGAAAAAAAGCTTGTATCGTTACATTTGATAATACTAATAAATTTAATAAATGGGTAAATGAATTTACCCCTTTTCTGTAAGAATAGTATTTATCACTTAATATATTTTTTTAAGAAAATATATACAAAATATGACATGATATCTCCTAACAAATTCACACGTGAGTATAACACATACATGCATACATACATGCATACACACATGCATACATACATACATGCATACATACATACATACATACATACATACATACATACATACATACATACATACATACATACATACATACATACATACATACATACATACATACATACATACATACATACATACATACATACATACATATACATACATACATACATACATGCATACATGCATACATACATGCGTACATACATACATACATACATACATGCATACATACATAATGTACGTGAATTCATACATACATATATACATGCATGCATGCACATATCAGCGAGGAGATCTGAGGAGGTCGACATGGGATTTGCTCTGCGGACCCCGCGTGCGGATGAACAAACGGTACTGATCAAACGTCATCGGAGAGTAAAACGCCGGCGAATTCTCCGTCAAGAGTTCCCGGAGCGGCTCCATCGGAATGTCGCCCTTTGGGTTGTAGAAGAAAGCTAAGGACCCTCTTTCCCGGGCCGAACTCACTACCACCCGATGCTCCACGCTCTTATATATCGCGTTGCTCAATACCTAATTACATTAACTAATTGTCGTTTTTTGTTCATGCATAACATATAAAATATCATCGTAACAAAATTGGTTGCATTCGTTAGAAATCTAATATCGAGCCGATCTTTTAAATTTTATATTGTGAATATATATATAAGAGTATATGGAATTATAGAAATATTATCGTTTACAATAGAAAATAAAATATTTTTTTAAGGTACAAAATACACGTCAATATTTCGTAATTATTTACAGAACGACGAAACGTGATTTGTGAAAATATAAATGCAGGATGACCTAATGATGATGTCGTGCATGAGAATGTTATTATTTGAATATATATATATATATATATTATATATATATATATATATATATATATAATAATAATAATAATGCATTATTATAATTTGATTTTAGGTTTTATAACATTTGAAACATGTGATGTGAGTGCGAGGCGACTCACATTTTCAGCAATAAATAATATTTATTGAAGATTTAATTGTTTTCTTTTAATTTTCACGTGTGAAAATTAGGAATTTGAAGGCTCCACGCAACGTGTCTTCCTCTAATAAGCCTTGACGACTTCAATTCATATCCCACACGCATTTGTTTTTGTCGACTGGGTCTCTGACGATTTTAATGTTGTCCTGAAATTAAAGTGCCTCTCGTGTGTGTGTGTGTATATATATATATTATTAAGTGTGATATTTGTAGAATTTTAGTTTGAATTTTGAAGTTTAAACAATTGCCTCGTCAAAAGACAACAAAAAATATATTTAAAAAACCCATGTTTTTAAAATCTTCATATAATAGTTTTATACAGTTTCAAAATAATTATACAATTTATTCATTGGGTTTTAGGGTCTAGTTTTTAAAGCTAATAATTTAATATATATTTTTTAATAATGTGTATTCTATTTAAAGGGTGATTAGTTTTTAAATTTTTTAAATATTTTATAAACTCTCCAAATATAATGTTAATTCACTAGTTATCTAAAAAATCATACATACTATACGGTTTATATTCTTTTCTTCTTTTCTTCACAGCTTTGAAGTTTTCATGTTGAGTAATGCTGTTTTGGAAAATTTGATCTTTTATTAACGTGTCACTTTTCTACAGATTTAGGTAATTTTGGACGTATATTGAGGTTTAGTTTTTTGTACTTATATATTTTATACTAATTCTATTTATTCTATATATTTAAAAATGTCAAGAAAATATAAATGTTAGATGAGCCAAGAAGTTTTAAAAATAAATAGGGAAACTTATTTTAAAAGTCCTATACAACATATCCAAAACTATGAAAATAAACCCACTTTTACTATTACTAAAAAACTCTCTACTTATTCATCTTTGAAAATAAAATATTGTCTTTACCACATCATTAGATCGCCTTGGTGACTCCAATAAGCTTTTAGACATTGTTAATTACACTATTAGTCATATAATTTAAAATGCTAAGATTATTAAGTGTGTGATTTTTTTTTTCAATTGTGACAAAATGTTAGAGGACATATTTTATATTTTTAGGTTCTAAATAATATTTCTAAAAGAAAATAAAATGAAGGTAATTTCTCCCTAAACCAAAGGTGTATAGTTTAATGTTCAAATTAACAGCTTGCCTGTTCATTTTTAAATCAAACTAGAAAGAGCAAGACTGTTTTACCTTAAATATTATGTATACTCTTTTCCTTTCTATTTCATATAAAACTCAGATTTATTTATTCAAAAGAAGAGAGAAAAAATTTGCCGTAAAAGACCAACCACCGGAATTTTTGTGTTTAATTATTGTACTAGGTTAAGATGCAATGCACAGAAGCAAAAAACATCACATAAATTGGAATAAAGTATTCTTCGTGATCTAACAGTTGGTTACACGGATTACGTCCAAATGTATAAAGATTATTAATTGCATATTAATTTGGATAATTCAACCGGTGAAAACGGGTCGTATAATGATTTCATAATTTTATGTAAATAAATGGTTTGATTTTTCTAATGGTATAAAATTTAACCCACGTAATCCAAATTTGGATAGTTCAACCGGTAAAAACGGGACGTAAAGCGTATATTCCGTCTCGAATTTGAACCCCAAATCTGGGGAGTAAACGTATAATCCAAATTACATGACTGACTCAACTCTAGAATTAGTTTGGGTCTTGGTTTATAATAACCGGTTATCAAAAAAAACTTAACCCATGCAAAGGACAATTTTTATTTTTGTAGCATTTATATATACCTGAATTTGGTCGCCGATGTTGACAATAAGAGCGTGAGGATCGGGCTTGATGATGACCCAATGGTCCGACCGCCGGACCTGAAGGCCGGGGACATGGTCGTCAGGCAAGAGAACGGTCAAGCCGCCGGGATCAGAGTGCGGAGAGAGGCCGAGGGTGAGCTCCGGTTGAGGGCATTTTGGGTAATAATTAACCCTCATGCACGCTCCTGCATTACGCGTACCGCCAAACGCGTTTTGAAGTCTGTCTTCGTTCAATCCGAGGTTTATCGATAATATCTTCATCAACTTCTCGCATAATTCCACCTGTTCCTTGCAATAATCCTCGATTATTTCCC